AACTATTTTGATAACACATATTTCACAAATATACAATGTAGGATGAATTTTGATTTTTTTTAATTTTATGGGTAACTCACATCATGTTTCTAAAGATTCTGCTTGCACTTTAATTTGAGTCAGCCTGCCTTTTGATAACGCTCTGGAAACAAGGCACTGATTCTTTGTCAGAGGAAGCATTTTCATTTATATATATTAAATCATTGCTCAGGTTTTTTAATATGTATTTTGCATTAAATTACCAATCTACATATATGAATTGATGACTTAACAGTAGTTCACTGAAGCATAAAAGGAATGATGAAAATACTATGGCAAATACTACAATAAAGAAAAATTTGTAAGTGAAAATAATTAACTTGTATGCAAATATAGATTATAAATTTCAATGTGAATCTGTGAATGATATGCATTTTCACAAGCAACCTCCCCTGCTTGGTATGTTCCTCCTGAATACCACATCATCACATGACACAGGATAAAGTATTATTGGAAAAGGTCAAAGCTTGAAATCTAGAATCTGCAAGAAAGAGAAGAGGAAGGCACTATTCCTTCCCCACACTCTCCATCATCCATGGCAAGGCATGCCAGGGCCCAGGTGATCTGCCATTTTGTAGTTTTATAGGCCAGGTTTTAAAGATGTCTTGTCAACTGAATAACTAACTAAACAGACTGCTCAACATCAGAAAGTTAGGACTTGGGGAGCCAGCAGTTTATTCAAGTTGGGACAGAGAGCTGCCCGGGACATGGCTAGTACAGGTCCCATGAGGAGTCCCTCTCTCTGCCAACAATTCTGAAGGTAGTGGAACTTGGGTGTGGTGCCTCCTGGTGGAAAATGGATAGAGGTGGGGTGCAGGTCTATCTAGATAATTGCTTATTGCACGACAGCTAAGTGGTGAGCAACAATGGTGTTGAACAAGCTAGACTTAGTCTTCCATGTTAAATGCTTTGGAGTTCATTTTGGCTGATATCAGTCAAGGTACCAACAGGAAACAGATGGCGTACAGATGAGAACAAGGAATAGTTTAGTAAAGGAGCTACTTGTAAAAATGTGGGCAGACATAAGGAAACCAACAAGGGAAGGGGAGGCAACCCCAGGCTAGCATCAGGAGGGCACTATTACCACCCTTAGGCCTGAAGAGGCAAAGGGGTGATGATTACCAAACCCAGAAAGGGCTATAGCTGTGGAGAAGCTGAGGGACATGAGTGGACTTCAAGCGCTTTGGTGTAGGAACTTGCTAATCCCAACCAACAATCCTGCATGAAAGAGCAGGGAGAATATGAACCCTGACCTCCCTATCCACTCTCCAACCTCCTGCTGGAGTTCCCATTGATCAGACCCAACCGCAAATAAGTCAGAGGGCAAAGCATGTGGCAAATCCAGTTGATGAAGATCATAAGGGTCAGCCTTCCAGGGCACATTGGCAAGTAGAGAAGGTAGAGAGTGGATAAGAGGGTAAACAGAGATTGTCCACATACCAGGAAAGACAGGACAGCTTTAAGAGAGCAAAGGAAGTAAGAGACTGATGGTCAGGCATGGAGATGGATGAATGAGTCCAGTTTTTCAATAAATTGATCAGGAAGAAAAGGATCATGTTACAAAACTATCTGAAAGACGTATCTGGATTAGGAAAAGAGTATTTTTCTGATTTTGGACAAAAACTTTGAATTTTCAGGTGAAGAGCATAAAGATCCACTGTACAAGGAATAAACAGATATTCCCACAATGGGAAAGTAGAGTTTTGAAGACAAGTTGCAGTATTACATGAATACTGTCAAAATTGTATCAACTGTTTACTAGAATTCATTACCTCCCATAATGATTCGTAGTCTTAGAATGCATTCTGCTATAGTAGGTTTACTATGCCATCTCCTAAAAGTGTTCTTAGTAAGGTTAGACTTTAAAATGTTCTCATATATGACTTGAACAGATTAAGGCACTTGATTGAAATAAGAAGAGAAGATTTAAGGATTAGGTAAAGATTTAAGAAAATTAAATTTATCTCAAGAATAATTAGCTATTGAAATACTTTCTTTGCTAAAAATTAATATGAAACAAAGACTAAATTTTAATCACAAAATAAAATGCTTCATATATTTTTCCTACATTTAACAATTTCAAAGGTATTTCAAGACAAAGATACAATGTGTTATGTAAATTCTACCTCCAGAACTTTGTGGCCTCTCAGTATCATTTAAAGGACAAATTAGAATTCTTCCAGCTTTATCCACTTGAGACTATCAAGGGTGTTACTTCAGGAATCACAGTGCTTGAACTACTAATAGGCCGTTAATCACATTAGGGACATTATTTCATGTATTGTTAAAGAACTTCATTCACACTTAAAATGAACCAGTAACTTAGGAACCATGAAGAGTGCAGCAGAAATGTTTCCTCATTCTAAGAAGACAGCTGAAATCTCAGTTTTCATTGTCACCTATTTCTACACTAATCCATGTCTACCATAGAAGTATCTAGCCCTTTCCTAGAATGTGTTTCTGGTATTTGAAAGTATGGACTTTTTAAGCATAGACTGTTGAATCTCAGAGGGAAGGTGGGAGTGGATGGGAAGAGATCAACCAAAGAACTCATATAGTTATATGCATAATTCATGGACACAGACAATAGTGTGGCGAAGGCCTGGGGGGAGAGGGGGCGGGCTAGAAGGGGTTAATGGTGGGAAAAGAGGGACATATGTAATACATTTAACTATAAAGATTTAAAATACAAAACAAATAAATAAAAATATGGTCTTTTTAAACATCTAATTTTCCATTTGTAAAATGTACTACTCATAGGTATATAGATGTATAGATTTGAATACTTTCATTGGTACAGGAGCCAAACCAATTGATGAAACAATAATATCTTAAGCTACCCCATATTTTGCTATAATGAGATAAATGTCAGAGGTCTTTTACAAAAATAATTGTAAACTAAAACCCCATATGTTTCCTTTTCTCTTCCAGTCCTGAAACAATAAACCAAGATAACAAATGGAATTTCGCAGGCTTTGGTTAGAAGCCCTTATCTTCAAAAAAGACCTGAGAAGGAAGACGGTGGACTTTCCCATGTAAGAAGGCATATCATCTACTGAGATGTGTCTTCCTTGTTGGCACCTCCCTATGAAAGAAGTGGGAGACTACAATCAGCTTCGACTTGTGAAAATTGTAAGTAACCTTCAGGCTAATGGGTTTTCAACACCACTCCGTCCTGGGCAAAAACTAATTGTGCTGCATGAGATTAAATTACCTCCTCAAAACTGACTTCTCCAACAAATTGCTACATTAAATAAGGTAAAATTGGAATTCCTACAAAACAATTCCCCCCTTCCTATCTCTGTTAACATTGACTTTATCTTTAATGGAGTACTCCATTTAGTTCTGGGGTCCAAAATAAAAAGAGAGCAGGAATCTAATAACTCTCAAGACTGTTAGGAAAAATGAAAAGCAAGAAAAACAAATCAGATCTTTGAGGAAACTAGAACTATATTTTAGAGAAATGAGCACATTAGCACTTTACCAAATGCTAAATTTAAGGAATGTGGAATATATATATATATATATATATATATATATATATATATATATTTTTTTTTTTTTTTTTTTTTTTACCTAGCAGAAGGTAACTTGCTATTTTTAGTGTCTTTGGAGTATCCATCTGAAAGAAACAAATAAATATACATTGTAATGAGTTTATAAGGTGGTAAGTAGCTCTTGTATCAACTCTGCGATCACTAAAAATTGACTGTATTTCCACTAATTAAGGTAGTCCTTTTTAAAGGGGGTTGGAAGTCATAGATGCATTGTTGAATGAATAGTGTTTTAAAAACTAAACCAGTTTCTTTAAGAATGAAAATACCACTACAATTCACTTGAAAATTTGGCCAAACATACATAAAACTGGAGACAATTCATGAATACCATGAAAATACAAACTGTGTGCATAACTTGAACTGTGAGACAATTTTAAGAAGAGGCACTATTATGAGATAATGTAAAGCTAAAGTGTTTAATTTGGTCTGTAAGGCAATGGGAAAACATGAGATATTATCCTGGCAGCTCTATACAGGATGGGCTACAATCAGGAGAAATTATGCAAACTAATCCCAGTCCTAACAATATCTCACACTTGAAGGTGCCAGACACTCTTCTAAACATTCCCATATATTGACATGTTAAATCCTCTTGGTAATGCTGTGAGGCAGTTATTATCCCATTTTACAGATGAATTGAAACACACAAATAAATGTCTGATTTTTTTTTTCCCAGTAAGCTTCCTGCACAGCAATTCCCAGACAGGTGGTTGCAAGCAACGTACATTTCACTTTCAAAGCAGGTATTATCCAGAAATGAATACCCATAGGGCCAATAACTATATTGTTTTTAGATGCTTTATTATGGAAATTTTCAAACATACATACACTAGAAAGAATAATGTCATGACCATCCCCTTCCCCCAACACACACACACACCATGTACTCAATCTTGATTCATTTTCTATACCTCCACCCATTTCCCATGCTCAAACCCTTATTATTTTGGAGTAAATCCAAAACATTATATCATTCCAATGACACCAATAAAATCTTTCAGTCTGTAACTCCGAAAGGTAAGGACACCGTTTTCTTTCTGAACACGACAATAACATCACAGCGTCTTAACACTGAAATAATCCCTTAATATCGAATGCCAATCAATGGTAAAAAGTTCCAGTAATATACCTCGCTGAAATGTTTATTGAGAACTTAATGCATTGGCACAAGCAACTTCCACATAGTCGCTCATTTAAGGAAGGAACCTGTCTTAATACTCAAAGGGCCTTCCCAGCATCGCCCGCACACCCCAGGCCTGAGACCTCAGCTCCCTCCGCCCGGCCCCACCCTCCCCTGCGGCCCAGGCTCCGACCGGAAGCCGGGACGCCCTCCCTGGCCCGGGATCCCGGCCCCGCCCCCGTTGCCTAGGCGACCAGGGGCCGCTCCGCCGCCGAGGTGAGATCATGGCGACTTTGGGGTCAACCGTCGGGGGGACGACCCCCGGGCCATTGGCGGGGACCTCGCCGGAGTCGGAGGTACGTCGCCCCTTTTCCCGAGACCCCCCGTCGCCCGCCCCACAGGCCCGCGGGGCCCTGGCCCAGGCCCGCCCGGGGGAAGAGTCCCACCCGGGCTGGGTGCGGGCGGCCGGTAGGCGGGCGGAGGAGGGGACCGCGCGGGGCCCAGGGGGCGGTGCAGGGTCCGGAGGCTCCGCCCCGCCTCCCTCAGCCCCGCCTGCCCGGCCGGGTCCTGCCCCCTGGCAGCCGCCCTCTCTGCCCCAGAGGGTGAAGGCTGAGAGTCCTCCCTCCGCGGGGCGCTTTGGTTTTAGGCCCAGAGACTCTCCCCACGCGCTGGCCCCCCGGCTTCTCTGCTCTCCTAAAGGGGTTTTGGATTTTACGTGGGCCATCAGTCCCTTTGGGAAATTTCTACTCTTTTTTCTTTTTAACCATCACAGTTCCCATTGTTGAAATGGTGTCATTAACACTGGATTGATTAATGTTTGAAGGCTGCGGCTTCCCTTGTTATTTTACCATTTCTCTGAACACCTACGGGACAGGAGGTAGGACAAAGGAGGCATGCCTGGAAAAGCGACCTTCTGGCTGCGGCTAGGTGGCTCATCATCCATTTTGTCTTCTGGGAAGTTCCTTCACCCGCTTGGGCCTCCGTGGTCTCTGGTGTTCAAATCAAGACTTACCTTTAGGCCCCGCCCAACATCACCTCTCAGTCACAAATCAGGTTCTCAGGAGCTTGGTACCCTGAGATGTTTATTAAGAACATAGCTGGTGTGCCAGATAGTACTTAAAAAAAATGTTTGTCTTCACACACCGAGCCCGCCCTGTTGTTCCTATGAAGTGTTTTTTCTGTTTCTTAAGGCCCCCAGAGGTAAACAATGTTGTAATTAACACGGTATGCTCCACTCCCTCATTAGCCTAAACAGCGTTCTCTGTGCAGAAGTATTAGCTGCAGTATTATAAATAAACACAGAGCCAATAATTCAGTTCCTTGCTCAGAGATATAGACAAAGTTGTTCCCAGTCCAGATTCTTCCCGTTGCTATCTGCAGACTGCTAAGGCATGCCGTCTCTCCCGTGAGCCTTTTGAAATTAGCATTCTTTAAAAACACATCTTAATGTGATAAACTGCCAGTGACTCCCTTGTGATCTCTAATGTAATACAATTTCAAAAGTGGCATAGGAAATTTCCCAATAAATTTCTGTTAAATAAATACAAAAACATATACTTATGACAATGCATACTTTTCAGTGTACACTTACATATACTTATCCATGTAGATAAGTCCTTTCTAAGAAGACTGATAATTTGAGGTCTTAATGTATCTGTACTTAAGAAAAGGAAAGGCCGAAACCAGTTTGGCTCAGCCGTAGAGTGTCCGTCTGTGGACTCAAGGGGCCCGGTTCGATTCCGGTCAAGGACATGTACATTGGTTGCGGGCACATCCCCGGTAGGGGGTGTGCAAGAGGCAGCTGATTGATAATTCTCTCTCATCGATGTTTCTAACTCTCTGTTTCTCTCCCTTCCTCTCTGTAAGAAAATCAATAAAATATATTTTAAAAAAAAGAAAAGAAAAGAAAAAGAAAGAAATACCTCACCATGGTTTTTAAAGATGCAAATAAATGCCACTGTCGAGGGGGGAAAAATCACTTTTTATAATGGATGATGAGGCAGATGAATGAGCTAGTTAGAGATCTTAGATGAGTATCATGTTAGCAGAGTTTCTATAAGTCCACAGAGGAGAGAGTTGATCCATAGAGCTGTGTCATTCATTAGATTGACAAGTTCTGCCAGCCACCCATTTGTGCTGACTGGAGAGCTCAGGGGTTAGATGGAAAACATGGCAAAACCTCTCTCTCTTGGAGTCTTCCAAGGCCACAGCTTTTCATTTAGATACTGAAAGATTTTTCTCCGATCACATTCTTTCCAGACATGATCCCTTGAGACTTGGTCCCTTATGGTGTCACTTCTAATATATTTGGTATCCAAATTGACTTAGTCAGTAGAACATGTAGTTATTTCCACCAAGCAGCAGTGAAATATTTCTTTTCTTGCTAAGTCTATTGGAACTACAACATAAGCTTCCAGGAGTCTTAGGTTTCCCTAGAATGAAAACCAATTATTGCAATCACATAGTAAGCACTCAATAAAATATAACTAGTTAACATCATAGGACTGACGTATGCCAGGCAAGATAGTAGTTATCATAGACTAAAATCTACTCTATGAGGTACTGTGAACAAGCAGACACGAAATGCAGGTCCAGGAAAATATGACATTGCGTAAACTCTTCTTGCCAACTCTCTGAATTTAACATTCCAGGTTCTTTAATAACATTGGAGTGAATGACTCCCTACAGAAGGTAAGACCAAACTTGTAGCAGATATCTGTATCAATACACAAGAACAGAAAAATATCAAAAATCTGAAAATAAATATTTGCTGAAGACATATGTCTGTGTAAGAGAAGGAGTTTATAAGTGAGTTTGTAATTGAATTTAGAAATGAAAACTAGGAATTCAGTAATCAGTCTTTTATTAGTTTACTCATAAACTGACCTTCTTAATATTTTCGAAAAGACTTTGGAGGAAATGTAATTATTTAAGTAGTATACTTAAAAGGACTATACTTCGGCTCACATTAGAGACCTAAAAGAAATGTAAATGTTTATGTCCCACGCAATTGCTTCTTCTGAATAATGTCCCTTAGTGTCACCATACCCCCTGATGGATGACACTTATTCACTGCTTTCTGGGCTTTATCAGCACAGAGGACACTTACATAATCTTGAGCGTGGAAAGATGAATGTCATTTGTCTTAGAGATCCTCACCATGGCCTAGAGGAGAGGTCACTGACGATTCTCTCTATATTAGATAGATTCTACAGAACTTGGAAACCAGCCCCCACTCTATTGACAGGTTAGAGAGAAAACACTTAGGGCTTAATATGAACAGCAAAATGAGGAGGTTTCTGCTATCACAGTATTATTCAAGAATTACTTATTTAAACTATTCACAGCACAGAGAGTAGGTCAACCTATGCAGGACCAAGGGGAGGGCTCCAAAATATTCCTAAAATATCATTGAGAAAATGTTACTAATGTACCTCAAAATGTATTATACAATATTATTTATCAGACACTGAGAATAGTGGCTGTGGGTATGGAAATATTGACAAACATTTGGGCATTTCTTTGGGTTCCTGTCTTATTTTAAAAGTCCTACTTCTGTCCCCTTCAGCCTCCCTTTCAGGTTGCACAAATAATCTTCAATCTTTTTCTAGTATTTAAAGTGTTAATAAACTAAAACTAGGTTTTTAACACAGCTAAAATTAATGTTTGAGAGATGGCATTTGATTTATTTGAAATGAGAAGCTAATTTTGTTTTCTTCTAGACATGAACCATCAATTAAATTAGCTTCCTTAACTAAATTAACTATCCTCTCTGTTTTAAGAGAATGGACTGACTGCGCTATCACATTATAACATTACTAGAGGCCTGGTGCATGAATTTGTACACCAGTGGGGTCCCTTGGTCTGGCGGGATCAGGCCAAAACCAGCTCTCCAGCATCCCCCGATGAGTCCCGGGTTGCAAGAGGGCATTTTCTTTTTGTATTAGTTCAGGTTTGTGTGTGTAGATTATAATGGCTTCTTTAGAATGAGTTATCTACAGTCTATTACACTTAACAGAATTTGTGTTCTTGTTTATTACGTAGCACTTTAAGTGTAAAACTATTGGGCATGGTGACTTTTTAAGAAGTAGACTTCCAGGTTAGTTCATGTTTAGTCAATTCTCCCTTACCTCTGGTCAAGTTAGATAAATCCTATAAAATCACCCATTTCCTTGTAATTTAAAAATGTATTTCCACTTATATGGCATATTTTTAATTTATTTTTAATCACATTTGCCAGAGATTTGCCTGTTCTATTATTTTTTTAAAAAACTAGCTATTGCTTTAACATATCGTTTTTTTCAATTGATTTTTCCTTCTTTTTCTTAAATTAACTCTTTAGGATGGTCAGGACTACAGTGAGGTGAGTTATTATTACATAATAAACAAGAACACAAATTCTGTTAAGTGTAATAATAGACTGTAGATAACTCATTCTAAAGAAGCCATTATAATCTACACACACAAACCTGAACTAATACAAAAAGATAATGCCCTCTTGCAACCCGGGACTCATCGGGGGATGCTGGAGAGCTGGTTTTGGCCTGATCCCGCCAGACCAAGGGACCCCACTGGTGTACAAATTCATGCACTCCTTGGGCACAAAATTTAAGGGATGCCAAAAAAATTCAGTAGCCAAGATAAATAATATTTTAATGCAGTATTTTAAAAAATCAATGTTAATGCAAAAAAATCCCTAATGGTCAAAGTTTTTAAATAAAGACAGCATTAGTATTACTGATTTTGCCCCACTTTTGCCTCAGGCACCAACATGGTTCAACACAGTGCTGCTCCTTAGTTCATTTATTTTCAGAATTGAAGAAAGTCTTTTAAAATGTGGAAATTGTAGACCATTGTGACTGTGAAACTCCTCTGTAGTCATCTTTGGTGAAATGTATTTTTCTTTTAATGAACATTCCTTAAGATTCTTTTAAGACAATACCAGTGATTGATACAAATATACCCCCAGAATCCTTAAATTCTAGAAGGAAGACATATATACAAGGTTTAGGTGACATAAGAGAAGAAATTCAGAGAAAACACTATCTAGCAAATAATATCAGGTTTTCAATTTTATTGCTTCTGGAATAACTGCTAAAATCCACCAGGTGGTGGAATAAAATGAATTACAGTGCAGTTTAGCTTACAGATTTTCCTAGTCAGAGATGCAATTTTACAGAAAAAGCCACAATTACATATCCACATTTTTATTAGCCTATTCATGAATTTTCCATTATATGTTTGATTTATACAAATTAGAATATATGTCTTAAAAGATTAAAGATTTTTAACCACCTTGTATTCTTTCTAATTCAAGGCAGTATATAAACAAACAAAAAAGAGCTCTAGTTTAAAATAGGTTCAGGAATTCAATTTAAACAAAGAAAATAAGAAACCAGAGGCAAACCCTCCTACAAGATGATTATCTTAAGCTATCAAGTTTTAGAAAAAAACGAGGCACTGATCTTAGGTATCTTAGGTAGAACTATTATTATATAATACAAAAGGTTGAATATTGCATTCTTTTCAGTATAGTTCTTGTGTGACATATTTTTTTCCTATCCAGAAAAATTTTAATCTAATAAAATTGATCTAAATACCTTCCATGTATATATTTATTCATTATTAATAATGATAACAGTCTTGTATATATTAAAACATAATGATAACAGTCTTGTATATATTAAAACATATCAAAATTATTTTAATATGAATACAAATTTAGATTGAAATGACTTGCTGTAAGACACAAAATTAATCAGTTGTCAAACCTCATGAGATATCCAAATCTAAGTCCTGCTTTTCATTAAGCTACATCACCCAACAGTGTCATCAAATGATGGAGATGAATTTAGGCAGCATATTAACAACCTATGTTAACATAAGTGTGATCTTCAGAATTCTCTAAAGAAATAAAAGATTGAATGACTGTCCCTGAGAAATTCATAATCTAATGGGATTGACAGTATAGGAATACTACTACTACTAATAAAAAAAAAAATGTAGCAAATAAACATTTAAACAAATATACAGCCATTATATTGTGGACTAAAATACTATCCTATCTAAAAATGGAGTGATTTAATTCAATTCCCAAGTATCTAAGGTGCCTACTAGGTGCAAGCTATTATATATTAGGTACTAAGGTATTTTGGCTTAATTGAGATTATAATCTAATAGAATGATCTAGTTTAGGTTAATTTGCTAACCCTAGATTGCAATTTGCATATTACTCTTTTATTAGATAGGACAGAGGCCTAGTGCATGGGTGAGGCTGGCTGGTTTACCCTGAAGGATGTCCAGGATCAGGGTGGCGTTCCCTTGGGGTGTGGGGTGGCCTGGGCGAGGGGCCTGTGGTGGTTTACAGGCCTGCGGAGGCCCTGGTGTCTGGGGTTTATTTATCTTCTACAATTAAAACTTTGTAGCCTGGAGAGGAGCCAAGCCTTCTGCTTGCTCTGTGGCGGCGCCATTTCTGATGGGACTTATGTATCTTCTATAATTGAAAATTTGTAGCCTTGAGTGGAGGCCTGGGCAGGCCAGGATGTGTGGAAAGCTTGGCTTCCTCCATTGCCGGTGGCAACCCTAGCCTTTTGTTCTTCCAGCTCCATGGCTGCCGCCATTTCTATTTGGATTTGTTTACCTTCTATCATTGAAACTTTGTAGTCTTGAGTGGAGACCTAGGCTGGAAAGGGCAGGCAGAAAGCTTGGCTTCCTCCATTGCTGGGGAAACCCAAGCGGCCTTCCTGCTCTCTGTGGCTGTAGCCATCTTGTTTGGGTTTATTTGCATACCCGCTCCTGATTGGCTGGTGGGCATGGGTGGTGGGTGTGGCTAGTGGGTATAGTGGAGTGGTGGTTAATTTGCATATTACTCTTTTATTAGATAGGATAGCAAAGCACATTTCTATCCTATCTAATAAAATTTTGCTTTTCTTATTTATTGGAGCTAATTCATATGGAAAGATATACCACTATTTGTTGAATGGAAAACACTTGCCCCCTGTTGTCCCTAAACCTCACAGTCCTTGATTTTTATGGAGCTGTTGCTGTTACTGTGTCTGTCTCCTTTTTCACCCTCATTCACAGTTCTTCTGTTCTCCTTTGGGCAGTTCCATCTATTCTCACATTTGAGGTACTCCTAAATGAGGATCTTCAAACTTGACCTTTCTCATGCCAGCATTTCTAATTAACCTCTACACATTTCTTTCTTGATAGGCGTATTGCATCTTAAACTCAACCACTGAAATCAAACTCATCGTCTTGCCTTTTTAAAACTAGCATCATCTTCCAAAACTCCTATTTCTATTCTGTATAAGGAGAGTACCATGTATGGATTTTGCAGACAGTAACCCAAACAGAAGAACTTAGCTGAGGGTTGAACAGGAGCTGAAATTATACCATCTTCACAAGTGTTACTCCTGGGCCTAGGCTGACTCTTAACACTTGCTGCTCCTAGAGAGGAGAGCATATATGCCCCTGTGTGTGACCTAGAGAGGATGTCTAGGTCACACACAGGGGCATATATGCTATTGGAGGCAGATATGTTATTGAAAACCATTACCCAGTTTTAAGTATGCACAAAAGATAGATTAACTAGCCATTCAATTTTTACTTAAAAACAGAAAAAGATTATCTAGGAGGGTGTTGTTCTAAAAAATTTTTTTCTGGTTTCACAGTAATAACCAATTTTGATATCCTTGGTATTAATATGTAAAATATATGATTGTAATAACTCATTCCACTTTTCTTTTTTCTTCTTTTCTTTTGTAGAAAGATCCTGAATTTCAGGAGCATGACAAGATTCTGTCTCCAGATTTTCTCTCAGTTGCCCAAATCTCCGAAATGCTAGCAGAGGACATAGATGGAGTTCAACAGTAAGCACTTCAATATTACAACCAAATGTAGGACAATTCTAGCTCTGCATCTATAAATGACCAAAATATTCTACTACAGAGTTGAAACTTTTTCTAAATATTATATGCACATCTATTATATATAGATACTAGGGGTCCGGTGCATGAAATTTTTCCACTGGTGGTGGGGCCCCTCAGCGCAACCTGCCCCCTTTCACATACTGGGAGCCCTCAGGGGATATGCTACTGATAGCTTAGGCCTGCACCCCACAGGGAGCAGGCCTAAGCTGCAATCTTGCCTCTCTTTCTGGGAGGAAATCAGGCTGATCAGGGGAAGGCACCAGCCCCATCACCCTGCTGCTGCAGCCACTGCCAGTCTCCACAGCCACCAAGGTATTTTCATCAACATGGACTCCAGTCCCTTCACCATGAAAAAATGACAACTTTCCTTAGGCATTTTCAAGATGTGTCTTACATAGAATATTCCTCTTTCCCTCCCTCCCTCCCTCCCTCCTTCCCTCCCTCCCTCCCTCCCTCCCTTTCTTTCTTTTTCTTATCCTCACCTGAGGATAAGTTTATATTGACTTTTAGAGAATGTAGAAGAGAAAGGGAAAGACAAAGAGCAACATCAAAGTGAGAGGATCACTTTGATTGGTTGTCTCCTGTTTGAGCCCTGATCTGGGCCCTGGCCAGGGAGGAGCCTGCAACCTAGGTACATGCCCTTGATCAGAATCAAATCCAGACCCTGCTGTCGGCAGGCTGAAACAGTATCCACTGAGTCAAACCGGCTATGGTAGGATATGACATTTCTTAGTCCTCCAGCTGCAGACCTTAAATTTTTTTCTCCAAAAGTGTAGTGGAAAAACCCTGGATCACCTTTTTAAATTCTTATTACCCAAGTTATTAAGAATATTACCAGTGGCATACAGAAAGCTTAGCCAATGTGCAGTCAGAAAAGGTGTTTCCTCTTTAGTTCACGCCAATAGAGGGATGGGCCCTGCCCAGGCCTAAAGCCTCTTGGGCAGGAGTGGACCCCAGCTCCCTGCGATTGATCACAGGGGTTCCACTCCTGCACCAGGCCGAAGCAGACCCCCAGCTCCCTGCAATCGATTGCAGGGTGTCCCTGTGATCAATGGCACGGGGTCTGCTCCTGCCAAGGCCTTATCTCACAGTGACCTGGGTGCCAGGATGTTTCTGGGTCACAGGCCCAGTAACCGCCATCTTTTGGGGGCTTACTTTGCATAGTCACTTTCTGATTGGCTATAGGCATAGTGAAGATACAGTCAATTTACATGTTTGTCTATTATTAGATAAGATATTTCAGACTCTTGTACACAAAAAAATCTTAACTAACTAACTTTGCACCACTCAGTAGTCTTTATGGGAGAAATGCATTTTAAACCAATTTGTTAATATTAACTGAGAGTAGGGATTTATTGTTAAAAGCAGCCTTTAACATATGTTATCTTCTACTTCTTTTTCTCTTTCATCCTTAAAACCATCAATATTCATAAGAGCTTTTAGGTCTTTGTGTCATCTTGAAAAGAATAATTTGTAATTTTCTGTAGTGTTAATAATATATACCTATTTTATTTGGAAATTCTGAATATTAGCCATCCACCTCTGATTTTTATTGGATATGAAGCTATATTGAGTACTCTGATTTCATACATTTGCTTAAAAATGTAAATATAACTGAATTTATAGGCAATAATGCTAATATGTGTACAAATTATATTTAAGACTGTTGATTTCTATAGTAGAGCATTTAACTTTGAACTCTAGTCAAATATATCTAACACACAAATACCTAACTGTTGTTTTAGTAATCACTGATTTTAAAAATCATCAGCTCTAATAATGGAACTCCAATTGGCTGTAATGGGTGGAGAGTGGGGACAATGTGCTGTTCTGCACCGTAATGTCCCTATGTAAGATTTCTGCAGGCTAGTCATCCACATTTTAGCAGGGAATTGTGGACTGTAATGGGCAAATAGAAAATGACTCTGTCAGGGGTTATCATTTGCAAATCTCACAAATATTATGGAATAGAGGTGATTTACTACTGAGAAGGAATATGACAGATGTACTGGCTGGGAGAGAAATCTGAGAAGGGAAAGCATATTAAGAGCAGGGGAATACCAGTGACAGGCCTTTTCCCAAGATGCTCTTCACCTCCAGCGCCTGCAAATCTTGCTGGAAATGCTGGTGATGTGTGATTTGGCCAAACTACTGACTCTCTGCATCTTTATAAATATATATGTGTGTGTGTGTGTGTGTGTGTGTGTGTGTGTATACACTTATAAATATATATATATGAATGACCCGGTGCACGAAATTCATGCACAGGGTTGGGGGTATCCCTCAGCCTAGCCTGTACCCTCTCCAATCTGGGACCCCTCTCACAATCCAGGACTGCTGGCTCCCAAATGCTCTCCTGCCTGCCTTCCTGATTGCCCCTAACTACTTCTGCCTGTAGACTGATCACCTTGTAACCACTGCCCTGCCAGCCTGATTGATGTCTAATTGCCCCCCTGCCAGCTTGTGCCCCAACGTCCCTCCTCTGCCTGCCTGGTCACCCTTAACTGCCCTCCCCTGCAGGCCTGGTTCATCTCAGTTGCCCTCCCTTGCAAGCCTGGTGCCTCCCAACTGCCCTTTCCTGATTGTCTGATTGCCCACAACTGCCCTCCCCTGCTGGCCATTTTGTGGTGGCCATCTTGTGTCAATATGGGGGCAGGATCTTTGACCACATGAGGTAGCTATCATGATCTTATGTGTTAGAGTGATGGGCAATCTGCATATTACTCTTTTATTAGACAGGATAGAGTGGGCTGGCTGTGGGGAGGGGCTGTGGGTGCATGGGTAAGGGCCAGCTGGTTTGCCCTGAAGGATGTCCCAGATCAGGTTGGAGTTCCCTTGGGGTGTGGGGCAGCCTGGGCGAGGGACCTTTGGTGGTTTACAGGCCTGCCATGCCCTCTGGCGACCCAAGCAGAGGTCCTGGTATCTGGGATTTATTTATCTTCTCCAATTGAAACTTTTATCTGCTTGCTCCCTGGTGCAGCTATTTCTGTTGGGGTTTATTTACCTTCTATAATTGAAACTTTGTAGCCTGAAGTGGAGGCCTAGGCTGGCCAGGGCAGGTGGAAAGCTTGGCTTTCTCAGTCACCGGGGGATACCCTAGCCTGTTCTCTCCAGCTCCGTGGCTGTCACCATTTTTTTGGGATTTATCTTCTATAATTGAAACTTTGTACTCTCAAGTGGAGGCCTAGGATGGCCAAGGTGTGTGGAAAGCTTGGCTTCCTCCATTGCCAGGGAAACCCAAGCCTCCCTTCTGCTTTCTGTGGTGGTAGCCATCTTGGTTGTGGTTAATTTGCATACCCACTCAGATTGGCTGGTGGGCTTGCATTTGTAGTGGAGTGACGGTCAATTTGCATATTACTCTTTTATTAGGTAAGATAAAAAGCCAGGAATTGGAACAACCGGTCGCTTTGATGCCCGTTGGGAGTGGGGCCAGCCAGCCAATCTCCCAAGGCCCTTCCTCCCAGGCAGCCCCACTCCTGATTGCCCCCCTCCACCAATCATGAGCGAAGCCAGCTGGCCAACTCCCCATGGCCCTTCCCTCCAGCTGCTGGCCCTTGATGTGCCCCCCACTCCATTCGGGGGCAGGGGCGCCCAGCCCACCACCCACAGCCCCTCCCCACAGCCAGCCCACTCCCGATAAGCCCCCACTACCCCGATTAGCCCTTGGCCCTAACCCCCAGCCAGCTCTGCCCTCAATCTGCCCCCACCCAGAATTGGACAACCTCACATTGTCCTTCCCATAGTGCTGATGCCTGATCTGCATCCCTCCCCAATTGGGGGTGGAGCCTGTCTGCCAATCAACTGAGCCCCTCACCCCAGCTGTCCAGCTTCATCGGCCCCAATCTGGCTGGGCCAGCTGGCCAACCTTCTGCCATCTCCTCCTGCCTACAAGCCTAGCCCCAATCTGCCACGATTGGGGCTGGGCTGGCTGGACACCACCTGTGCACGAATTTGTGCACTGGGCCTCTAGTTAGTCAATAAAAATCTGTACTGATTTTACAACAAGTATTTCATGGTGATTTTACCATTTTTGTATAAATGAATGCTCATTGGGAATTCTGACTTTTAGTGTCAGAATTGGTTAGTAAAATTCATTAATTTCATTAGCATCACTGATTATGCTTTTAAGTAAAATATTATTTTCTCTTATTAAGTAATTCTCAAATGTTATTGGTTATTGAAATGTAAAAGTTAGGTATTTAATACTAGGTAAAATAAAGTGATGCAGATGACATATTTAATATAGTTTACAAAGTATTTTTTAAAATATTAAATAAAAGATGTTATCTTCTATGCAATTAATATTAAGTAAAAGGTAATGCAGACAAATGCTTTCAAGACTCATTACTGCATCATAAATTGTACTGTGTATCATATCTTCTGTGATAACCTTTATTTTTCAGTTATTGGTTCTTTTGTTGTTTAAGATCTAAATTCTGAAAGTATTTTAATCTTTAAGAGGTGAGGTCTAGGACAAAGGAAATGATACAGATGTTGATACAGAAGTTAGCACTATAGAAACAAGCAGATTTAACATATGTGGACCTTTTAAACTGTCTAATTAATAGAAATCATCTGAAGTAATCTCAAAATTTAAGACATCAATTTTGAATAAATGACACCAGTGTTATGTAAGGAGTCATTGCTCTGCAAAGTATTTTTTTTTAAATGATTTTTGTAATAGTAATCTGGAAATATTTACAATCAATCATTAATTTTTCAGTTAAAATGTATCATCATAAATGGGGATTACATACCTTTCAACATAACAGAAATATAATTTAGGTATCCTGTCACTAAGTGACAGAAGTATGCCAAAATCATAGTCTGCAAAGCAATATACCTATTAAAAATAAATTATAGGAAATTATCATATTTTCTATCTTTTTAAATTAAAAGTTGTACTCCATAAAAGCAGCCAACCAAGTAAAACATTAAAGGATCATTAAAACATATTTGTGGCATATACTTCACGTAAAGTAAGTGTTTGGGTACATTTCTCATGGTCTCCTAAGTACTATCAATTATATTTTAATGTAACTCTGTTTTTATGAATACATCTACGCAAATCTTGTTTGAAATAATGATAGGAACAAAATTTAAAATAACTATTTAAATACAGAAATAACACTAAGAGATCTTTTAATAACCTTTCTATTACGGGGCTTCCATGAGCTGTTCAATTCTTGCCTTAAGGCTTTTTTCTGCATATCATCATATTTAAAAAATAAAACGCACTTCAATTTCAAGAGCATGCAAGAATAATGTAATATTTTTACTGAAAAAATTCTTGGTGGGATAGTTATATCACTTATCAGGGTAGCAAAACTTCTTAAGTCACTATTAAGCATCTTTCTCTTTCCTTGCATTTTCTCATGCCCAGATGTGGCCATCTCTCCCCTTCCCCCATTCATCTTTCCTTATCCCTAGAGAAAAAGCTTACAAATTTGACAGTAGGATATCGAAACTGCAGTCAAATTACAATAGTATCTTGCTCCAAATGCTTCCCTGCACAATCTCCTTTGGGGTGAAATAACTGAACTAAGAATAGAAATGTTAGTCTTGCACTTCAAATTGAAGGTTAACATCTAAATGGTACCAGGAGAAGAGGTGCAGGGGATATGAGAAAGAGGCAAAGGTGGAGGATGTCAAAGAAATTTCACCAAAATATTCTTACTCAGGTAGTTACCTTTATTTAAATACAACCAAACATTAAGTATACATTCAGGCCAAATATTTCCATTTTTAAATGCATAGCATAGAAATGGCAGAAGGAGGGAATACTTAGGAGGAAGATAACTGCTGGAAACAAAAGTGCAGGAGAAAGGACTGGAAGCACATACATACATACATACATACACACACAAATCTGAAGACACTAGACTGAGGTAAAATTATACTCAGTCTCCTAGGGGAAGAGAAAACCGTGTAATGCATTTCCAGAAACATTGGGTGCAATAGCACGATCAGGATGTAGAGATGGGAGCAGATGCTTCCCATATTCACAATAGATTGTTTGTGTGATAGTAAAGAAATCATACCCTACTTCTTTCTTCCTTTTCCCTACTAATTAAAAAAAATAAAACTAGACTCATTGACATAAACTTATGTCATACAGAAAATAGCTTGTAATATGGCCAGGTCTGAGTGCTAAGTAAGGAATATGTACGCAAGACATAGCAAAGGGGGAAAATTGAATAGGGTAAAGAAGTCATAGACGTAATACTTACATCAGAAAAATATAGCCATGAGCAGATAAAAATAAAGTAAAATATTTATTATGAATTTTAAAAATACATGGAAAGCAATCACCACAAGGTAAATCAGAGTACAAAACTAAAGGAAGAGATACAAAACAAAAGGAGACAAAATATGTAAACCAGAGTAGGAAAAAAACAATGTTGCAGAGATAAATTTATAAAGCAGCCCAAGGGATAATTAACACTCTGAAAACACTGAGGGACATAGAATACAGTAATGAGAAAAGTATATAAAATTAAAAGAAAATTGATTTGAAAAAATTTTGAAGGTCAAATAGAAAATTGTAGCTCTATGGGGGAAAAATGAGTAAAATACGCATAATTGGAATTCTTTTTTTAAAAAAAGAACAAATATTTAGCAATCTAATTCCAGAACATTGTCAGAAGGAAAAGAAACTTGATTGTATAATAGAAAAAGATAATGATTTTCAGAGAAAAAAAATAGTTGAGTTGTTATACTTTGAAGATACAAGAAAGGGAAGACTAGGAAAAGGAGGAGAATTAGAAATGAATGAAGAGGAAGAGAAAGAAGACCAAATATGGTTTTATATTTTTACTAGAGGCCCAGTGCATGGATTTGTGCACATTGAAAGGAAATTAATTAGAAGGTGGCCTATGGGGTGGGACTGGGCAAGATGGGTGGGACACACTCTGAAGCCAACCTCCTGGGGTCTCTTCCTAGCAGGCAGCACCTGGGGCAGCTCCAGGGCTCCCAAGGGCATCTGAGGAGTGAGTGTGGTCCCTTCAGCAGGTGGGATCCCTTGGCCTGGGCCTGCAGGGATCAGGCTGAAACCTGCAGTTTGACATCCCCCCTCACCTCCCCAGGAGTCCCAGAATGCAAGAGGGCACTTGCAAAATTGCTGTCCCTTAGCAACTCCTGCTTTGAGCATCTGCCCCCTGGTGGTCAGTGAACAACATACCTACCAACCCTTCAGCCACTCTCTTAGCCTTTTATATATAGAGAGAGATGCTCTTCCTCTCTCTCCCTTTCCTTCTTCTGCCCCTTGCCCTCCCTCTTTCTCTCTTCTTGCCCTTCCTTTTTCCTCTTCCCTTTCCCTTTCTATCTCTCACTCTCTCTCTCCTCTCTGTTTCTCTTTTAAATGTCATTTTGGACTTAGAATTTAGATATGAATATTTTAGATTATAAGCATTATAAAAATATTTATATTTTTAAAACTGAAAAAAGGGACTGTTCAATATTTAATCTAATTTTAAAACTGAATTTTTCTTTCTGTTTCAGAAAATTTGCCACATTTCTGAATTTCAAAAATCTTAAATCCTGTTTAAAAGAAGCCATTCTACTAGATTATTATGTATCTGGATTTTTGTGGGCTAGAGACATGGACTTTTCTGTTATGCAGTACTCAAAATTTATGACTTTACTACATACCTCGCTTCATAATCTTAAAGGTAAGTACTTTCTTCTTTCCTTTAAAGAAATGAAATTTTCTTTAATTTGTGTTGTCAAGCAAAGTTCCTAACTGTATTATGATTCTTTTAGTGAAAATTATATTTTTCCTTGGTGTAGCAAAACCATAATCAGATTTTCATTAAGTTGTAAAAGTTCAAATAATATTAAACAATATAAAAGTCTCTTAACAATTAATTTACTAGAGATATATTAATTTCATTTAAAAATCTTTTCAGTGGCATCTGTCCAAAAAATATCAAGTAGTTCAGATCTAGTTGGATATTTTTTATAACACACACACACACACACACACACACACACTCACACACACACACTTACAGACACTCACACACACGTGCATGCACACACACACACACGCCCATGGCGAGCGCATGTGCCCTGGCTGGGTGGCTCGGTTGTAGCATTGCCCTGTGCACCAAAAGCTTACGGGTGTAATCTTCGGTCAGGGGGCAAATGGGAGGCAACTGATTGATGCTTTTCTCTCATATCAGTATTTTTCTCTCTCTTTCACTCCTTCTCCTTTTCCTTCTCTCTCTCTCCGTCCTTTCTCCTTTCTCTCTCTAAAATCAATAAGTATGTCCTCGTGTGAGAACTAAAAAACAACACATATACATCTTATAAAAAGAAAAATTCTAAGCATTTTTTTTAAGATCACAAAGGAAGTTTTCAATATTTGGGAAAAATCAACAATCGTTGAAAGATTCAACATCACAAAGTTAAATCTCACTAACTTAATTAAAAATATTAACATTCCAACAAAAATACCTAGTTTTTTGTTGTTGGTGTTTTATCTATATGATAGGTTAGTAGATAAGGTGATTCTAACAAAAATATAGGAAGTACTCACAAATAGCAAGAAAAACTGTCTTTTAAAAGTATGATAAGATGTAGCATATATTGCATTAAAAGTATTAGTATGCAGTAGTGTTTATGAAATCTCAAAACTTTAAACACAGTGGTGAATGACTGAGCAGGAAGAGCAAAAGTTCAGAAATAGTCTCAAGCACACAATAGAATTCAGTATTTGATAAAATGAAATCTCAACTATCTGGTGAAAAAAATTGTACTATTCAGTAAATAATTTTGGGACAACTAAGTATTCATCTAGAAGAAAATAAAATAAAATTGGATCCAGCTTCTTTCTGTCCATAAACCAGAATATATTCCAAATGGATCAAACACTTAAATGTAAAATAAGTGGAACTATAAAAATGTTAAGAGAAAACATGGTTTAATTTCTTTATAACCTTGGATGAGGAAGACATTTATAATTATGCCTCAGCTATAGAACCATAAAGATGAAGGAGTTAAATTTGATATATAAAAGTTAAAAGTCTGCAAAGCAAAAATACCAAAAAAAAAGAAACTAGGAATTATTGTCTCTTGCCCACCAGCAAACAATTAAGTTCTGAATTATAAAAAAGAGCATGAAGAAGCAGAAGAAAAAGTCCAATAATGCAGTAGAAGAATTTGCCAAGAATGTGACTAAATAAATGCAAGTTATTCTTAAGCAAATGAAAAGTTCAGCCTTGATGTTATCAATAATAAGAAAAATGCAAATTGAAACTACACCAAAATGTAATTTATCATAGATCAGATTGACAAAACTGTAAAATTCTGGTAACATCCTCAGTTGACAAAACTGGAAGAAAACATATATGCTTTTTTATTTTATACATTAAAAAAAAAACCTGTAGCCCTGGGCTATGTGGCTCAGTTGGTTGGGTGTTGTCCCTTATACTGAAGAGTTGCCAGTTCCATTACCAGTCATGGCACATGCCAGGATGGGGCTTCAATTCCAGGTAAAGGGCCTCCCTTCCCTGGCTGCTGGCTGCCAGCTGGGGCCTTCTTCCATTCCATGCCACCCCCTTGTGGTCAGTGCATGTCATAGTGAGCGATCAAACTCCTGGTCTCCTGGTTGAACTCCCAAGGGGACACTTTGCATATTAGCCTTATAGATAGATAGATAGATAGATAGATAGATAGATAGATAGATAGATAGATAGATAGATAGATAGATAGTTTAGTGCAGCAGTCGCCAACCGCTGGTCCATGGACCACTAGTGATCTGTGAGGTCTGAAAGATTGGCGACTGCTGGTTTAGTGCACATACACATACATATACACACATATATTTCTTAGCTCTGACCACAGAGAGGGCCTAGAAGCAATGACATCCCAGTAGCAATGAGCATACCCAGAACCCAGGTCTTAGTTTATAATTTTATTTTTCAATAAAAGAAACCACGGCTCCTTAGAAAAATGGCTGTAGTGGAGTAAAGGCATAAAAGATTAGCCTGGGGCAACTTTAGTGGCCAAAAGCAAGTACTCAAAAATGAAAATGATGGGGGGCCCCAAATATTCAAACCTGGAACAATTTGAACAAAATACAATATTGTCCTAGCTTTTGTGACTCAGTAGATAAGAGTGTCGGCCTGTGGACTGAAGGGGCCCAAGTTCGATTCCACTCAAGGGCACATGCCTCATACATGGCTGGTCTGCCCTGAAGGGGATCCCGGATCAGGGTGAGGGGGTGTGCAGGAGGCAGCCAATTGATGATTCTCTCACATCATTGATGTTTCTATCTCTCTCTCTCCCTTTCCCTTCCTCTCTGAAATCAATAAAATTATATTTTAAAAAATACAATTTTAAATTATAATCTAAAATGTAAAATTAACATCCTTTAACCCATAGATATAAGTTAATGAATTAATAAGTAATAACTTGGGGCATAATAAATCTCCCACATAGAATTCTCAATAATTTATGTGCATAGTTTATCCTCAAGACGTTGAAGCACAGTCAGGACCGGTTTGGCTCAGTGGATAGAGTGTCGGCCTGGGGACTGAAAGGTCCCGGGTTCGATTCCGGTCAAGGACATGTACCTTGGTTGCGGGCGCATCCCCAATAGGGGGTGTGCAAGAGGCAGCTGATCGCTGATTCTCTCTCATCGATGTTTCTAACTCTCTATCCCTCTCTCTTCCTCTCTGTGAAAAATCAATAAAATATATTTAAAAAAAAAGAAAAGAAGTTGAAGCACAAATCCCCACCCCTTAAGTGTGGGCTACACACTGATTTTCCTAAAAAGAGGACAGTATGGAAAAGGGAAATACGTAACTTTATAGTAGAGAAGCTGACAAATACTACCTCTGCCAGGTGATTAAGGCCAACACTGTTGGTGAGAAGCCATATCAAATAGCATAAACCCTTGGCACAATGTAATGAGAATGGCACTGTGGGCTCGCTCTCTAAAACCATTGGCCCCTGTCTAATCATGGTAAAAATATCAGACAAATCCAAATTAAAAGACCTACTACAAAATACCCGACTAGTATTTCTTAAAACTGTCAGAACCATCAAAGACAATGAAAGTCAAAAACTGTATAGTCCAAGGAGACATGGTGATTAAATGTAATGGAGTATTTTGAATGGGATCCTGGGAGGGGAAAAGTCTTCAATAAAAGCTAAGAAATCCCCCCAAAGTATTTGTTCACTAGTTGTGCCAAATGTACCATAGTAGCGTTAATGGGGAAAACTGTCTGGGGGAAATGGGAGCTCTTTGTGATATTATTGCAACCTTTCTGTAAATCTAAAAGTATGCTGACATTAAAGTCAACTAGTAGGGATTAGTCTATCCCTAAAATGAAATATGATGCAGCTATAAAAAAGAAAGAATGAGGAAACTTTCTAAGTATTGCATAGGAAACTGTATATTGTTACTAAGTAAAGCCAGGTGAAGAATTGTGTGCTTTTGCATGCTATATGTACAAAGAAATGCTCAGAGAATACAAAGGGAGAAAAACAATTATCAAAATCTTCTATAGGGAGGGGTGTGGGAACTGGGCATATGGGCAACAGGAATTGAAGAAAGTCTTTTCATAATATATGTTCACATGTGATTTTTGAATCATGTGAATATATCACCTATGCAAAAACTAGATTGTAAAAAGAGAATATGTGACATGAACTTTTGCTAACTCTGAACTAAGTATTCATAAATTAGAAACAGAATTTTTAAAAAAAATATATATTTTATTGATTTTGTACAGAGAGGAAGGGAGAAAGATAGAAAGCTAGAAACATCGATGAGAGAGAGTCATCGATCAGCTGTCTCTTGCACACCCCCTACTGGGGATATGCCCGCAACCAAGGTACATGCCCTTGACCGGAATCAAACCCGGGTCCCTTCAGTCCCCAAGCCGACGCTCTATCCATTGAGCCAAACCGGTCTCGGCTAGAAACAGAATTTTAAAAAGTAAAACATTTTCATAAACCTCAATTCCAAATCTGACAAGATATTTTCATTTTTAACTTTTTTCCATAACTTATAACTGACCCAAGACTCTTTCTTTTACATGAAACTTCATATTGTTGATATCAATTCAAAAATGAGTTTTTAAATTTGAGCAGGTTCCATCTAAGTCCACATTAACTATGAGAGAGTGAAAGTAGATATGTAAAACCTAACCAGAAAAAGGCAAGGGATCTAGTTTTTCCTTCTGGCAAGAAAAAAAAAAAAAAATCCCCTCAAGCCTTTAATCCCAGGAAGGTTATAAGTAATAATCAGGAAAGAATGTAATCTTAGCCAAGTGTGCTAGAGAAGAAGACCTAAAATGCTAAGATTAAGAGTCGTGGGCCATAGTGAGCATTCCCACCCCAGGACATTCTAATAGAAAAAGCACTGAGGAGCCCAGTCTGGGCTGTTAGCTATAGTGTGGTTGATCATTGTTGATAAAAACTAGTGTGGAAACTGCATTTTATACTGACTCGGTTTCTGATCTGTTTCTTGTCTCAAACTGGTGCTGTGTTATCTATCCACAAGGCATCAGTCCACCTGGAATCAAATGGGATCAACTGAAAGATTGTGAAAGATACAGGATTTGTACAATTGTCCTAACAGTATACATTTTGGGGCTTAGTTTTTTCAGGGTCTGACTAAGGACAAACTGTAAAGTATTAGACAGACTAGGTATTGGCTTCTCTCTCTCAAGGTTTGTGGACCTAGATTGATTCCCCTGTTTATAGCATGAATATTAATAAATAACCATAGAATACTTTTTTCAAGTTGACTTGTTTTCCCCCATATTGGTATGATAATAAAAACAGTAATAGGTAAAATGTATATGATTAACTTGTGCCTGTCACAGTGTCATCTGCTTTGTCTCATTTAATTCACACATGATCTTATGAGATAGTTCTATTATTCTCCCCATTTTTAAAGTGAGAAAAATAAATGAGATTCAGAGAGGTTCAATAACTCCTTAAGGTCACGAGGTTCAACCCCACTGAGTGAGAGCTTGTCCTACTGATTACTGTATCAAATGTGCTTGCATTTGGGATAAATTCTAGAAAGCCCTATACACATGTAAATATACTAGGATATATATCTTTTCAGTTTACCAAGAGTTTCAATGTGTTTCTTATTGGTCCCTCACAACAGCATTGTCACTTTGAAAATTGATACTACTCTGATTTACAGATAAGGAAAATGAAACTCAGATCACCTAGCTAGTAAGTGGCAGCTATGAGGTACAATCTTAAGCCTTCCAACTGATTATAAGTCGTGTGTTTTTTCATTACCCTAAAATTTGAAAGACACATTTTATTTCTAACAGCCCCTACCATTCAAATGGTTTAATCTTTTATATTTTAATCACATCACTAAATGTGATTTTAGAAGAGCAAATATTTCAGTTAGATAAGTGAAAATGTTCTTAATTTTTAAAGCTGTTATCTATAAAAAAAACATTAGAAATTGAAAAACAGTTTTAAAGAGTCAGTTATATTTCAATATAAGGAAGTAGTCACTCATATACATGTATTTTGTGCTTGATAAATATTATTACATTTAGAATTATAATAGGTTATCTAAGAATTTCTTTTTTTCTGAAACTCTAAGTAATACCATTTTATTAGTAAAACAATTCACATCTTCAATCCATTCCTCTCTGAATTGCTTTTATACAACAAATTTTTCATTTCTGAAGTTACTCCCACTGTTATCAAAAGAAATTTGGTATGGAAAAAGAAATATACAATAATAATTGCGCATCTCTTAGGATGATACAGGAAAGCCTATTAATATAGCAATAATTGTGTATCTGACATACATAAAAGATGGAGGGATCCTATAAAATATGTACTAGTTGTCATTTATTAAACCAGATTTAAATTGTTACATAGTTTTTTGCTTTCTAATTTCTATAAGTAGGAAAGAATCTAGATTAAACAAATTACAAGTTAGTGTTCATAGTATCTTCCTAAAATTTTAAATTACTGTCATTTTATTAGTAATTTGGGGGTGTAGCAGTTACATCCCAGAGATAAAAAGTAGATGTGTAACCCAGAAATCACTGGGTCCAACAGTCAGCCTATCTATCTATATATATAAAAGGCTAAAATGCAAAGTGTCCCTTGGGAGTTCAACCTGGAGTCCGGGAATTCAGTCTTTCTCTATGATGTGCACTGATTACCAGGGGGCAGCGTGGAACAAAGGAAGGCCCTGGCCAGCAGCAGGAAGGCCCTGACCTCCCTGATCACTGGCCTAGCGACCCTACACATGCACTAATTTCTTGCACCAGGCCTCTAGTGTTCTCATAATTTCTCTATATTCTCTTTTCCTACCTCCCAGAAAAAGTCACTCCTTTAGGAGGAAGTGGAGGTTTATTGATGGTTTCCTAAAAATAAAGATATCTAAGTTTGGTTGGGATTAAGAGGGTAGGGTTCACACTGAGCAACACCATTCTCCCCAAAGCCCAGTCACCTCCCACCTGCAGCCTGTCCAGCCTTGCTTTTGCTAGAGCTTTTCAACTCTCCACCCCAAGACTCCTCCTTTTCATTTCTTTTTAAAAAAATATATTTTATTGATTTTTTTGCCCCCCTCCCTCCCATACATACCCTCCCTCCCCAGAGTTTTATGTCCATTGGTTGTACTTATATGCATGTATACAAGTCCTTCGGTTGATCTATTATCTCCCCCAATCCTTTTTATTTCCATACCACAGTCATTTGTCAGCATATAAAGGGCACTCTGGACACTCCATATCCCTGGATTCATCCTTGGGATGAGGGGAGCAGAGGTTGTGTGTGAATTTTAGATATTTGCCTGCCACAAGTAAAACGAGCATAATATGACTAAAGATGAAAAGAAGACAAGAGATAATATATGTGTTACAGACACTATAAAAGTTCTCTATGGTTTTTGACATTTACTTCTTTTTCAGCTAAATAAATTCCATAAAAGATAGCATTACTCTATTGTTTTTAGTTGCAAGATAGCAGACCTCAACCATGGACTTATTTGTTTTTTGGTAATGGTGGCAAAATGGAGTCCTTGTCACTCTTTTGCAGTGTCATCTGGCTCTCACCATCACCACCATCCATAATTTGAGAATCAGCTTACATAGTTATAAGCCTATAGCTTGGAAGAGAAAAAAAATCTTGATGTTTTACATAAAAATCCATATTTCTGGCATCTATTGAGAATCTCCAAGCCCAAATTCCCACATGGTAACAATCAGCTAAAGCCAAGAGTTGGTCGACTGCTCATTTATATTTTCAGCTCTGAGTTCAGTTCTGCTGTCTACTGTGACTGAATCTACTATGCAGGCCTTCCTCACCGGCTAATCCAACCAACTTTTGTGTTGTTTCCATATGTGCTCTTATTTTGAGATCATAAAAAAAAATATTTATTTTCCATTTTAAAGTAATCTTTAGATTTCAAATTTTTTTGTGTCTTAAAATGAAAACATAAGATCTTTAGACAATTTATAAATGTTGGGTGTGTCAGCTGCTGTTCTTTTACACAAAATATAATTATTAAGTTATCATAAAGAAACAATAGTTTTAAAATTTGTCCTCACAAATACTGAAAGCACATTTTTTCACATTAAGGACATCTTGGATTATTTTGTTCCAAAACATCTATCAAAACAATTGCTTAAAGCTTCACTGAATTTTATTTCAGCATTGCATATGTCCTTAAAAGATAGCTTACAATGGCTTGGAGAAGTTATGGCTGAAATTGGACCAGCCCATGTACAGAAACACGGAAAATGGAGTATCTTTGATATAAAACAAGCTAATGCTATCACTGATTATTTAAAAATCAGGTATGGATTTCTTTTATTCACAATTATTTTTTTTGTTTCATATTTCTAGAAAATATCTTCTAAATAGAAACTAATTCAGTTTCTAGCAAAGTTTGACATTTATAGAAGTTATATAGTAATTAACCCAACTAATAATTAGATAATGTTCTAATCCATTCAATAAATAAAAGGACATTTATCAATTTAGCTAACTTGCATTTTTAAAAAGAAATTTGTGTTGGACAAGCAAAGTTTTATTTCTAATGAATTGATATATGCATTTATTTTTTTCTCTTAAGTCTCTAATACCATTTTATAAATAAAAGCATTATTTTTGACTTATCAGACATGATTACAATGGAATCTATATTTTATGTAGATGGCCTTTATGTCAAAATTTCACATTTTAAAGAGCAACATTCATCTCCACTTAAATATTTATTTTAAATGCTTTGTACTAGAAATTAAAAGATTTATGTATATATACTTCCTCAAATTTATTAGCTGTCTGGAAATATTTTGTAGTATTGACCAGTCAAACTCAATAATTGTTTCTTTCTGCATAGAAAATGGTGGTATATGGAGGAAAAGTATTTTTATTACAGTGATTATTCTTTGGTGAATTAAGAAATCTGTCTTTTTATTTAATCTGTCACAGGGTCTACATTAGAGTTCTCTTTGTCTCCCAGAGAAGAGAGATTTTAGAGTTTGAAAATATTTAAACAAGAATTGGTAAAATATTTCTTTTGTCTTACTAAAAACTTCCCGGAATATCTTTGTTCTCTAATACTATATACTGCAGTGTTTTCCAACTTTAAATTTTAAAATTTCAAAATAAAGCGTGCTGCATGATGTCCTAGACATGCTCATGATTTGCTTGGCAAGGATCCTGGTTGTAGTCTGGGAGCTTTTTAAATATTAATGTGTTTAATATGATAAGATTTGTATAGTGATTTCTGGCATGAATTAATAATGGCACATGATATAATATGTTTTTATATAATAGCATTTAATATAATATGATGTCTTCCCATAAAAACATACCTGTAAAGTGTCTCTCCCACTAAAAGCCACATTAGTCTTCATATCAATTAGAATAAAGCAGTTCCTGTCAGGGGAGAGGAGGGAATGGAAATCCAGACTGGAGGGAACCTGGTCCCAGGTCTGTCTGCGTCTCGGGGTTTGGGACACTGGCCAGGGGGAATCTTCTGCATATTCATATAGCATCCTTCTTTCCCTCCTCTCTCTCTTGGAAACTGCTAAGTCTCTTTTGCAGAACACATTTTTACATCTAAGTTGTAGGCCCAAGAAGCTTATAATGGTCATTGGAACTGGTCCTTAACCACAGCAGCAAAACCCATGCAGGCACCATAATAACACTTTCTAGATGAGGAAAAATGGTGGCTCTTTTCTCTTTCATCTCATATTTCTCATCAATATACTTCTTACTTCAGAAAATGGTTCAGGAGAAATGTCAGTCTTAGTCACTGTTAGGTCCTAACCAGGGTAACCATTTACCAAAAGTCCCTCATCTTCTTAAAACAAAAGCACTGTTTCAGAGAGTCATCATATAAAGTATACAAAATAAATCAGAACTATATTTGATGCTACTAAATCTTTATACTGTGACTTTAAAGAAATTATACATTTTCAATGTACATGTTACATAAAAAAATATCAGTTAGTAGGATACCTGGAATTGATACAAAAATTGTATAAAGAGAAATACATTTCTATAACACCTGTTCAGAATGCCTCATAGATCCACAAATGTAAGTTCAGTGGCAATTAAATCATATATTTTTCACTTTAATGACTATAAAGAAATTTTATAAATACGAAGCTAACTCAATTATTGAAAGTATGAGCATGCCTCAATTTAACCTGATATTAAATTTACTCAACCAGTGAAAACCCTCGTCAATTTAGGGAGAGCAGTTTTTAGAACATGACCCCATAGAACATGAAACTTAACTGGCATAAAATTGAAATCTCATTTGATACTGTTAATAGTGTCTAAATCAGTGATTTTTAATGAGTTTGTCATGCCATAAGAATTTTTAAAATACGTAATATTTCACTATTTAGTCAGGGGCACTGACCTCTTTTCCCTTATATTATAAAATTTAAAAATTACAACAGCCAACACAATAGCCATCCAGTGTAAATGAATCAAAATTATACCTATTTTTTGTCAGATCAGCAAAAAAATATATTTTTTTGGTGTGCCACATAATTTTAGTATAATTAGTTTACGTGGCCATGAGATGAAAAAGGTTGAAAATTGCTGGTATAAATTATATATTCTGTAATGTGTCTGTGAGGTTAAAAAACTAATACTGTAAGTAAGGATGAATCTTCTTGAGCAGTATACACATTTGCAAATGTTGTATACCATCTATATATGTGAAAGCCAAGTGGCTAGAACAACTGGAACAACCAAAAGAACTGGTTGCTATGAGACACACTGCAACTGGCCAGTCAGCCTCATTGTGGGGACAGGGACAGGGCCAGCTGGCCAACCTCCTGCAGCCGCCTACCCTGGCTGGCCTAGCCCCTGAGTGACCCCCCCAACTCCAATTGGGGGTGGGGCCAGCCAGCCAATCTCCCACATCCTCTTCCCCCCATGGACCTGGCTGGATCAGCCCCCACCGTGGGGGCCGGCTGGACATCACCTGTGCACAAATTTGTGCACCAGGCCTCTAGTATAAATATAAATACTGCTGTAGCTTTTTAATTAAGACATAATTTTGATATATATCTGGAAGCACACATTTTTTATTGCATATTCTACCTATTCCCTGGAATTAGGTGAAGGTAATGTGCACAGGCATACATGCAATATGAGAAAATCAACACTGCCCCTTTGTGCACAACAAGGAATTGAACTTTCTGGCATAGGGTCAGATGCCTTGACCCATTTTCATTCTCGGTATTTCTTCTTTGATTTATGACTAAGACAAGCTGTTTAGCAAAGTATTAATAGTCTAAGGCTTGAGTCAGTGGGAAGTCTAAAGGAAGAGGGAAGAAATTTGCTCTCATTGCAGAGGTGTCACAGTTAGCTCCCATGGGAGGTCATCTAATATTTCTTGGTAAAGTTAGAGAACCCCAACCAAGGTGAGGACCAGTGTGGGGAAATGGAGGCAACTTGACCTGCCCCTGAGTAAGGTGCCTCCCTCCCCTCCTCTGCCTCACCCTAATCCTGGCTTCACCCAAACCTTGCATCTTTGATCACTGCATCCATGTCACAAATTTTCCTTTGTCCTGGAAAAATCTAATCACTACATGTAATAAGGAGAATAATGCTGAAAGATGATGAAATTTCAGGAAGACTTATGAATTAACATTAAATTGGTGAAAGAAAAATCTTATACTAAGTCACTGAGAGGAAGCCAAGCTATTTAAAAGTTTTTACTTTTCTACTCAAAATTAGTTATTGCCAGTGTAATATTTTTAACCTTAAAGCTTTCTCTAGGTAAGCAATGAAAGGAGGGAGAATTTGAATTTATTTTGCTTCATTGAATCATCAAACTTCACTAATCTTGTTGTATGTTCTAACCAACAAATCAAAGTAATGTCAAAAGATAAGTTAGTTTTCTGAATGTTGATGACTAATTTACTAGTAAGTGTATAAGGTTCCCCCCCATCCCTCACCCCCCACAAAAAAAATACCATGAGTGAGTCTGCACACCCATCACCTTTTAATGGATTGTGTTAGTCGTGAGATCAACTGAAAATGTAACTCGGAGAGACCCAGCTGCCTGAGGATTTCTTCATTGATTTCAAATGAATTGAAACTTTGATCCATTACAGCATTCAGAAGAAGCCATTATTATACATGCTCTGTAGCTACATTTTGCAAATGTTAATTTCTCAGTTATATTAAAATCAATTTTCTTAAATAGCAAAAGGCACCAGAGTGAAAGAGAAACCGCTAAAACATTTTTTTTGTTCTTGGGCATTTTGCTGCATTATGAGTCTATTAATTTTCCCAACCAGCAGGAAGAGAATTAGAAAAATCCAAATATTATCACAAACAGGATATTAAAAATCAGCCCTTCAGTAAAATTTTAACTTTTAATAATACCTTGCTGAAATCCTTAAACTTACTAGAAATATGTGTTTTGGCTCTTTATAATTTTTTATACACTAACCACTTGATCTTTAGGATAGGAATAGAAGAAATCATCTTCCTTAAATTAATTTCTCTCTTTGATGTATGATCAAAGATTCTGCAAGAAAATCAGACATCTTCTAAATGGATTTTAGTTCATATTGCATCATTTTTCAAGAATTATCAGAGATTAATTTAATCTTGAAACAGATTTTAGGACGTGAGAAGAAGTAATTGATATGGAAGTAGGTTGTAGAATTCTATGCCATTTATGCTAAAAGAAACTGACTCCAGTTTGGAACAAAATATAAAACTAATGTCAAGTTTGGTGTTATTTAGGGGCAGTGCATTATTTAGTTGTAAGCCAGGAAATGTTAAGGTGCAATATAATTGCTCCTTTATTCCAAACCTATCTACTCATCACAATTAATTTACTGATATTATTTTAGGCACTGTTATATTGTCAATGTCTCAAAAAGTAAACCTTTAATTTCTTAGTACTTATAAAATAAATTATTAGTACTTATAAATTAAATAAATTTATTTTGGGTTAAAGAAGGGGTTAACTCCATAGTAGTGTTTAAGGTCTTTAGCTTGGTCAACAGCTTTCCTTTAATAAACATTCTTACATATTTGCCTTTTTTCCTGAAATAAATGTTTCACAGTTGCACATTTGTTTTATATTTCAGCTTATTTCAACACTACAAGCTATATGAATTTCTGTTCTACTCTACCAGAGAAGAAATTGTGATAGGAACTGAGGTAAGTAATTTATCTAGATGGCACCAATTAAGCTGAATCACTTAATGCATGCTGATCAGCATCTGGATCTTTAACTGCTTAAAGCAACTTCTTGTCAAGATTACTCAAGTGTTAATATAACCAACTAGTAGTTTAAAAAAAGAATAATCACATAAAGCGACTTGGGATTAAGAAAATAATTTGTCTTTTGGCATTAACAGCATTGTTAACCACATATCTTTATGTATTTATGGATTAATTCTTTGACAAATCTCAAATGGATAGGATATGTATGTCTTCATAAAAATAAAATCAGGAAAAGTGAGATAAATTAATTCAGTTAAATCTCTTCTAATTGCACATTTATTTCTGTCTACTCGTATAAGGCTTAATTCAATTCCTACTTTCTCAATGAAACAAACCTTCCTTAATTACATCATGTTGCAAAGAAAGGGTTTAGGCAAATTCTTTAATCACATTCTGTTATTTTATTCCAGTTGACCTCTTTTTGCTGAATATTGGCTACTTTTACCAAATCAATTAGCATATAAATGAACTGTTACATGGTTTTCTAACTATAACCTGAATGTAATTTCCTTGAAGGGTCATGTGCTGTATTCCTACCACAGAATACAATATAATAAAGGATATAGTAGTCTCTCAGTTAACACTACTTCAGTGATTCAGTGGCAGTGCATAAAATAGAAGTTCTATGGTCAATCTACCTGGAGACACTTTTGACCAGCCTTGCATATAATCACATATTTGTAATGACCAAAAATGAATTATGCGTAAGGGAACATCTTAAGGAGGCTAAAAATGCCATTGAAATATGTTTCTTAGGTATTCTTAAAAGACTACATTGCCTAAAAGTGTAAGGGATAGGGATGGCCATGTTTGCAAATAGATATTGAATAAGGGGATATTTATGTTATCTTTTTATCTTTATAATTTTCCTGATATTAAGAACCAAATGGAATGTGCCAACTCTTCTGTCTTTCAGAGCATTGTTATTCTCCTGTTTATAAATTGTTTATTTCATAAACATTTCAGTCACTATCACTCACCCTCCATTTGGATACTTGTTCTAATGGTGTCCTTTTAAAAATGAGCTGAAGGAAAACAAGGAACCTTTTTGCTTTTGAGATTCCTTAAAATTTCTTCTTTGCAATATCCTTGTAGCTTAAACTAAATGTCACTTGACAAAGTTTCACTGAAAACATTTCCATTTCAGAATTACATCATATAGTGTGATAGTGTTGCAATAATTATCGTTTTGGAATATGATCCTATCTCATTGTTTAGCAAAACTTTGGGAAATGATAATGGCTTCAACAGCAGCATAAGCAAATATTTAGAATTATCAAAGAAAATTTCATTAACAATTCCTTTTTCCCTTTGTTAGTTGTACAGTTATGCCTTTCTTCTCTGCTGTAAGGATATATTTAGGTGACATTTATGCTCACAGAAAGATAAAAGTGGAGAAATCAAACAGGAATTGGCTCCCTGTTTGCCATTGTCTTTTGTATTTTCCCCAAGCTGATCAGAACTATAAAAATAATATTTAAGAAAATATTGGATCTTCAAGAATTAGATCATTCATGGATTTTTTTAAAGGATTAGCCAAAGCAGTTATTTTAAGACATTTTAAAATTATCTCATAACTCTTAGAAAATATCTGTTTTTTAAATTAACAACCTTTTGCGGAGGAGGCAAGAACCTGCCCCACTAATGTGACTTTTCATGCTAACCAAACAAGGGCCACATGCCAGTGTTCTAAATTTAACTCTCAGGAAGCATTCGAACCACATAACTGATGAAATTTCATTTTTGTAAATTAATGGATGATAGATGATAACAAAACACATAAATCACCTCTAAGAATATTGATAAAAATTAATTTTAATTATTAATAAGAATATAAATAAATCATGCTCCTACTTTTCTTTGGTTTTAGCTTAAAGAAAATTTAATTTTTGTGTTTTTTTAATTTAATGATTATTTCTACTTACTTTTATCAAGAAATTTCATGCTGTTCTTAGATCATAGAAGGCATGTTTCAGTAAATCATTATTCTTAACCTGAGGTGGTTTTTTATTTTTATTTTATAATCTAGAAATCTTATTGATTTTATAGCATATGTTATTGAGTTCCTATTATATTTAGGCCTTGTACTGAGTTTTGGGTATAACAGGGATAAGCAACAATTCTTGTCCTGAAGGAGTTTACACTCTATTGAGAGGAAAGAGAATAATAAATAAGTAATTACAATATAGTACCAATAATGTTAATATACTATGGGAACAAATAGAAAACAAAGAGGAACATCTAACTTAGAGATTTAAGGCCCATAGGGCTTCTAGAAACAAGTGAAATCTAATAGGAAACCTAAAGCTTATGAATGACTTAGCCAGTCAGTATATTATAATTTTGGAGTATGAATGGAAGAAATGCCACTCGAAATAACTGATAAACACAGTGGGTAAGCTAGCCTAAGGTCAGCTGGATCTAAGAAGTCAGTGTTATGACGTGTGTACGTACATGTGAGTGTATTATGAATGCATGTGTCTCCGCCTCTCAGCCTAGTTCTTTCACTTCCCTGATTCTCTGTTTTGGCCTGATTCCCTTTTGTAGACAGGCTTCCTCCAACTGGCAGGAGACATGACACAGGCAGCTCTCATTTAACAACTGCAGACAAAGAGACATCCTTCCTCACAATGTCAACATTAGACCAAGCTCGCGTCATGTGTCCACATCCGATTAATCACTGTGGCCAGAGAAGTGAAGTAAAGTTACTAGAAAACCGAAGTAGGCCGAATTGAATGGGTAACAAGATTAACATGTACCCAAAAGAAACAGAAAGAGACTTTGCAAAAGGGAAGAGTGATTTTATCGAAAGAGTGAATAAACATACGTGCACAACTCTTCTTCCCATCCAAAATCTCATAAGAGACCAAAATTTTCAAAATCCATTATGCTATGGATAAGAGATTTTTTGACATCTAAATTTATAGATTACTGATTAGATGGAACCACAGCCTCATATATGCAAAGAAGATGATACAGAGTTACTGAGGGTTTCTTAGGCATCCTCAATTGATACAGAAGTGGGAGAAAGCTTTAGATGGAATAAATGAAAGCAAGTAGGAGACTGCTTTCCGAGCAACTGCACATCCAGCCTCTTCACTCTCTGCTGCTTCTACCATTTGTTAATGGTAGAAGACTGATTAATAGTTTTAGAAATGTTTGAAAATTTATTATATTCTTGAAAAGTGACCTAATATAGGTCTTAGAAATTTAAAATAAGATTTGAAAACTTTCAATGAACAATCAGGTACGATTTGTATTGATAGATTTGTAAATGTACAAAATTAATATTAAGGGAACTGTAAATTACCAGTATTTCCCTGAAAGGATATGGAAATCTTAATAGAATGTTAACTATATAGAATACTAAAAAATGTATGCATGGAAATGGCATTATACCTGAAAGGTTTTATAGATCAGTTTTACCAAAATTTTTCAGAGTAAATAATTCCCCTTTCTATAAATTGTGATGGAGGATAGAAGGAAATAGAAACTTTCAACTTATTTGAAATTAATATAATCCTGAGAAAGGCCATGAATTGATAATGAATTATAACCAGAAATGGAAAACAATAATACAAAGCTATTGGCAATCTCAGTTATGAAAATAGATAGAAAAGTCTTAAATAAAATATTAGGAAGTGAAACAGAGCAGGTGATTGAATGTTCACAAATAGGGTTTATTTCAGATTTGAAGAGATGGTTTAACAGTGGGATATTTATTAATGTACTTTACATTATCAAATTAAGGGAAGAAAAAACAAATAATCATCTCAGTTGATATGATAAAGAATTTAATAAAAATAAACATTTGATTTCTGATTTTTAAAAGAGCCTACTTAATCAGTATAGATAATTACATTCTTGAGTCATAAAATATAACCCAAGAAACTTTCTAGAAATATTTTAATGAAAGCCTTAAAATACCCACTTGGGACAAAACAATGATAACTATTATTATGTAGCAATATTGCTTTATAGTTTCTAGCCAATGTAATAAACAAACAAACAAACAAACAAGAAATCAAAAGTAGAAGAAAAAGGTTACTGAAAAATAACACACAAAGCCGCCATTGTATGCAGATGGCATGAAACACAATAGTAAGAAGAAAATATTTTCCTATCTTTTAGTAATAATCCACTAGAAAATGATCACATTGATAATAATAAAAACTATAAAATATTTAGGTATCAACTTAACAGAAATCTGGAAGAAAAACACAATGAAAATTAAGTAGTTTTAATAAAGAGGTTTTTTTCCCCTCTTAAATTCTGAGTAAATAGAGACAGATAGACATGTCCCCAGTTGAGAATACTCAATTTTGGGAAAATATCATATCATGGTAATTACAACCAAAATATTATAATTATAGTATTTTATCAAGTAATTATTATTTTTTTAATTATTGGGGGCATATAAAAATAGAAAAAATAATATTAACCCTCATATATCTATTACCTAGCTTCAACAATTATGAACTTAAGGCCAAAATTATTAAATAATTTAATGTAACTCTAAAATAGTGACTTTAAACTACCTCTTTAATATCATCTGATGTGCAACAAATGAACAAAGTCCCTAATTATCTTATAAATGGTTCATATTTGTGTTTTAATTTATTGTTTGAAGTAGCATCCAAATTTGATTTGCAATTAGATTGAGTCATTTTTAATGTATAAGTTCTCTACTGTTTTTATTCTTTCCTTGCAATTTATTCATTGAAGAATCCACATCTTCTCTATAGTTTCCCAATGCTTGGTTTGTTAATTGCATTCCTGTGGTATCCCTTTCATGCTCCTCTGTCTCCAATATTCTACTAAATGGGGTCTTAAGGTTTAGAGACTGACCATATTTCAGTTCAAATGTCTAGCAAAAACAATCTATAGGTGGTTTTATACAGTTTTATATTTTTTTTTGTGATGTTAGGAACCAC